TAAGACCTGCCAGAGTTTGTGTCCTGGGAGTAAAGCCTTCGAGAACCCAGGGTCACCTACATGTATTACTATGAATGATCAGGTGAGTACTTTAGGGGAAGGGAATTAGCTAGAGAGGATTAGCTCAAATTAGCATTCACTTGGCATATAAAATGTAATGGGATTGGTATTTATCTGTGATTTGCATTCTGCTAAAGTAATTTCACAATTGAGAAAGCAAATGAGAAAAATTGATAGCTCCCAAGTATTATGTTAAGACAAGAAGGCAAAATCATCTCTGAACAGAAGTAATAATACCATGTCATATGACTTCAGGAATTTTATAAACATTAACCCAACTTTCTGGAAGATGATAGGGTGTGAGACTGCAAGTGAACGAGACTTCTGGTTACTTTCCACTCTCCTATAATTTTTTTATAGTATGATATGTAATATTTCTGTCAAATATCCAAATGTGAATTTATTCTGGAACACTGATATAAGATACAAACCTAAACCAATGTCTGCCCCTTTCCAAATTACTAACAATCTCTTAATTGCCGAATCTAGTGGTCTTTTCTCAATCCTCATTCTTCTTAAACCGTTTCCATAAATATTTAGCTGTCTTCTCCTTGATACTCTCTTCTCTCTAGGTTTTCAGGACACTACTCTCCTGGTTCTCCTCCTACTTCTCTAACTATTCCTTAGTCTCCTTTGCTGGATATTCATTCAGGTCACAAAGATAACTGTGAATGTCTCACTGGGCTCTATCTTGGGTCCTCTTCTCTTTCCCCCTCTACTATTTTACTTGCTGATCTTACCAGCTCCTCTGGATTCAGTTATCATCTCTCTGTTGATGATTCTCAAATCTACTTAACCAGCCCTAACCTCTTAGCTGACCTGTAGTTTCGAATCTCCAGCTGCTTACTGGACAGCTCAAACTGTCCTGTTGACATCTTAAATTTAATGTGTCCAAAACCAAAATCATTACTTTGCCCCCCCCAAATCCTTTCCTCTTCCAAATTTCTCTATGACTGTTGAGGGTACCACCATTTCCCCCAGTCACTCAGTCCCCAAACCCAGGAATTATCTTCAACTCTCCTCTCTCACTCCTCATATCTAATATTTTGCCCAAGTCTGTTTATTTTAACTTTGTAACATCTTTCAAATATGCCTCCTTCTCTGCTCTGACACTGCCTCTATCCTGGTGGAGGTCCTCATCATCCCACACCAGGATTATTGCGATAGCCTACTGAATGGTCTACCTGCCACAACTCTCTCTTCTGATAAAAAGGCACCCTGTTTTTCACAAGAGCCTTCTTGAATAAAAGAGAATTGATTTACGCAATAGCAAGCCTTTTTTTTTTAACCATATATGAATCAAGAAAACTATAAATAACTGAATTTTGCATCTCAGGATCTTAGACCATATGGGGCAGAGTGTAGATCCCACTTTTGTTTCTCTTAATAAAGGTTGGTTTCTTTCTTATATATTTTCTTATATATTCTTTGAATATATATGTGTGTATGTATTTATGTGTGTGTGTGTGTGTATATATATACATACACACATACATAAGTACATACATACACAGACATATATATCTAACAATTGAAGAATGGTTGAACAAATTACTGTATATGAAAGTAATAGAATGCTGTGCTTTAAGGAATAATTAATATGAAGAAATCAGAGAAATATGAGAAGACATGAATTTAGACAAAGTGAAAAAAGCAGAACCATGGAAACAATATATCCAATGACTGTAACAAAATAAAGTCAACATAGAGAGGAAAGGAGAAGATACCAAAGGAATGGAAAAAAAATTGTACCTTGATAATAAAAATGGCTAAATGTATATAGCACTCCAATGTTTGCAAAGTGCTCTACGTATGTTAACTCATTTGATGCTCACAACCCTAGGAGGTAGGTGCTACTATTATTATCCCCATTCTACAGATGAAGAAACCTAGGTATAAAGAGGATAAAAGTGATTTGCCCAAGGTCACACTGCTAGTAAGTGTCTAGGGCAGGATTAGACCTCAGTCCTTCTGACTCTAAATCTCACACTCTCTGGGCACACTGGACCACTTAGCTCCTAATACTGACCTATATGCCTACTACACAAAATCTTCAGAAGATTTATCTACACATGGATAGAAGGCATGCTGGAAGACAATATTAGTAGGGAAAAAGCAGGCTTTCACAAGCTATATTTAATAATGGACCATATTTTAAGCATTCCACAATTTATTGAAAGATATTTATGATATAAGAATCACTCCTAGCTTCAGTAATTCTCATCTAAAAGATGAGGGAGTTAGAATAGATGGTCTCTAGTCAATCAATCAATCAACCAGCATTCTTTTAGATTTACTGTGTGTGAATTAAAAAAAAATTTTTTTCATTTGGTCAAGCAAAGCACTCCTTTACATTACGCTTTTGAAACAAGTTCAAAATATCAAGATCTTCCCAAATTCCCTGGAAAATATAACCATCAAAATAATCCTGCTCAAATCACCCTCTGATAATAGACATTGTTGTTGTTTAGTTGTGTCTGACTTTTTATGGCCCCCATTTTCTTGGCAGAGATACTGGAGTGGTTTGCCATTTCCTTCTGTAGCTCATTTTACAGATGACAAAACTGAGGCAAACAGGGTTAAGTGACTTGCCCAGGGTCACATAGCTAGTAAGCGTCTGAGGCCAAATTTGAACTCAGGTATTCCTAACTTCAGGTCTGGTGCTGTCCACTGAGTCACCTAGATTCCCTTAGGCAAATAGGCAAGGCATAGGTACAAAACAGGGAGCCATGTGCTCACCAAAGGTTTTCATCACAGTGATAAAGGAGATCTAACAAGTCAGTTTCCTTCTCTGTAAAACATTAGGGTGAGGGGGATATGGACTAGGTAATGGGAGGAAAACTAATCCAGCAGAAATATACTAAATTTGGAAGCAAGAAGTCAGTCTGTTAACTTCCTTCCTGTATTAGGAAAATTAGGACATTAGGGAAATCAGTGAATCACTTTTGGCCTCAGTTTTCTTATACATAAAATGAGGAAGTTACAGTAGATGATCTCTACTCAATCATAAGTATTGTTGTACATGACTAATATGGAAATATGTTTTCCATAATTGTACATATGTAACCTACATCAAATTGCTTACTGTCTTAGGGAGTGGAGGGAAGGAGGGAGAAAATTTAGAACTCAAAATTTTATAAAAAATGAATGTCAAAAATTGTCCTTACATGTAATTGAAAAAAATAAAGTACTATAAAAAACAAGTGTTGTTGCATATTGTGTTATATATTATACACATAATATATACAGTACTATAAAATATTTGTGCTTATACACACACATGCACAAACATTATCTATATACAAAAATATAGATACTTGATATTTTAGAGAGGAATGTGCTAGACACTAGAAATAAAATGCAGTCCTTGAGCTGAGGCAGGAAGGAACCACAGATTCTGAGAATTGGAGGGCGTGAGGAGAAAGTATATTCCAGGTATGGCACAGAGATGACAGATGGAGGGCCTTCTATGAAGAACAGCACAGTTTGGCAAGACCGCTGCGTGCATGGAAAGGAATAACATGTCGTAAGGGCCAGGTCGCTAAGGGTTTTAAGTGCTGAACAACGGTGTGTATATTTGATCTACTGAAATATACTGAACAAGGGAGTGTTGTGAGATTGAATTTATAAATAGCATCTGGCCTTGGTTTTAGCAACTAACACCTAGGTTCAAAACCCGCCACTGACAAGCACTGGCTGTATGATTCTGAGAAAGTTACCTAATCTCTTAGCACCCCAGGCAACTGCCCCTCTTAGTACCCAAGGAAAAGAAGAGTATTAATTGCAGAAACTTTGCTGACCTGACTTGCTAAAAGGACTTTCCTCCCTGGGAGCTTCTCCTACAGAGACGAAATCATAAGTCAGGACCAAACAAACAAAACTTTATATGTTAAGAGAGACAGACACAAAGTACCATAGACACAGACAGAAAGTGAATCCTGGTTACATAGGTAATTGGGGCTTGGATTTTTTTAATTGCTCAAATTGCTTCTGTTCATAATAAAAATTATTTTTTAAACAATCTTTTCCCTTCCCCCCTCCAAAAAAAAAAAAAAACCACTCAGATCGTTCCTTTAGAGCTGGAAGAGATCTTAGAAATCATCTGATCCGATGTCCTCTTTTTACAAAGGAAGAAAGACTGAAAAGGTGGTATTTATTATGACTACTCACCTGAGTGTCGATAGGAACTAAAGAAGAATGGGTCATGTCGAGGTGTAATGGAAATTCTTTATCTGTGTAATCGTCATCATTGAAAGAACTCCCAACTCTTAGAATATTCATTACTAATGGTACCAGTCTATTACTAATTTCCGAGTTGGAATATCTTGTTGTATTGTTTGGTTTTGTTGAATATTTTTCCTTTTTTTTTTTTAAACAAGGAAATACTGGGGAGAAGGGGTAGAGATATTTTATAATGAAGGTGATATAAAAACAAACGGTCTCAATAAAAATAGGACTTCTAAGCCTGATTCGTTGGCTCCAAACACGAACCCACTCCCCTAAACCCCCACCTCTCCGATTACAAAAGTAGCAGAAATTGCCTCCAGCTCAAAGACTTTTTTTTTTTGCCCTGGTGTCTCATTCTAGTCCCGTAAATCCGCAGCTGTGACTTCATGCCAACTCCCTATTCCCCCGTTGTTTTTATAGCTAATGAATAATCCCTTATAAATAGGCATCCCACTGAATGTGTTGACCAGCCAATAACCGTAAAGGCGAAGTAATTCAGGCGGGGCAGAGAGGAGGTGGGGATGGAGCTGTCAGCTTTTGCTAATGACAGATCTGTCCTCGAATGAATGCCAACCCCTTTTCATGTGATTCCTTGCAGGCGCTCCAGCAGGGGCAGGGCGAGCCATCGGCCGCTTGCTCAGTCACCAGGAGGGCTCTGCGATTGGCTGGCGGAAAGGCCCTGCGGCCAAGGAGATTGGAGGCGAGGAATTCCTCCTCCTCTTCCTCCTGCCAGTGCCCCAGCCCTCGCTCCAGACCTTCCTCGGGTCGCCTGACAGTTAGGAGCAGACAACGGCGCAGTTGCTGGCCATCTGCGCGCTACCCGAGTCCCTAGCCTCTCTCCTGCGGACCTTGCGTGGTTTGGATCCAAACGAAGGTAAGTATTTTTCTCATTTCCAGGAGAGGGCCGATCCGCACCTGGCTTAGAACATCTGGAAGCCTAGATTATCCGTGCCTTTGCAACTGAGTATCCTAGAGGAGGAGGGTTTGTTTGCGAGGATGAAAACCGGGCATTCAAGCCAGCTTGGGATGGGACCCAGCTGAGTGCAGCCAGATTGAGGGCTGCTTTGAGTCTGAGAGATGGCGGTTGTCTCTTTTTCTCTCGCCGCGGTGATACCAGTGCTACAGAATAGTTGTTTTGGTGTTCCGAGTAGGTAGAATGTGTGAAGGGAACAAGCCCATAGACCTGTCCAGCTTGGCCCTGATTTTTTTTTTTAATGCACCTGGGATTGATTGAATGAGAAGAGGGTGATAATACTTGTATTGCGCCATGCAAGCAGTTACTGAGAAGTGTATGCGTGGGCTGGAAGAAAATATGTTGTTTTATTTCACAGTGGGAGAACTTTGGGATTTGGGAAGGTTTGTGCAAATTGCTGGGGGAGGGGTGACTTCAGAAGTGGGCACTGTCAGATCTTGAGAACAGGTGGGTTTGTGTTGAGGGGGATGATGGGTGTTTCCATCAAGGTATGAAGGAGAGGTGTTTTGTATTGCATCACTTGATGTTAAAGAGTGCCTCCCTAGTGATTGTGTGGGGAAATGGAGGGATGCTGTGGGAGGCTTCACGTACTGACCATGTTTCATCTACGGAAAGGTGTGGTCTGCTCTGATGGACACTGGTCCTGGGTTGATTAGTAGGTAAGCAAGGAGGTGTCATGGAAACACCCCGGATTTAGTCCCAGCCCTACCCAGCTAGCCGATTGACCGAGTCTCTTTGACTCCATGAGCCTCGTCTCCAGATGACCCAAAATCCTTTCTGGCTCTCTCATCCTGTTAGCTTAGCAGTTTTATCAGACGACAGAAACCTATGAGCAAGATGTGTCATGGGGCTTACTCCCCTTTTCCTAAGCCTACTTAGAGATCTGATAGCCTGTTGCAAATGTATATCGCCAGCGGGGTTATTGTGAGGCTCAAAGGACATCATAAAAGCAGTTGGTAAATTGTAAGATGCTCAATATAACACGACAGCACATTGCACCTTCTCTCTTGGTAGAAGGGGTAAACAAATTTTACTGAGAACAGATTGATAGAGTGCCGGAATTGGACCCTAGAGATTATCTAGTCTAAACCTCCCATTTTACAGATAAGAGTTATCTAACGCAGCATTAAAAGGAGGGATAAAGCGTGAGATTAGACATACCTTGAAGGATGGGGAGGAGGGAGGAGTAAGGCTATATGGTAACGTATTCAGGGACGGCAGAAGAGGAGACGCAAAACCCAACGGGAATGAGCCGAGGAACTGCGTAGCTGCAGCAGCAGCAACAAAATATTCAGTCTGCCCGGACCTTGAATTCTTTCCTCCAGAGAACCCCATCCAAGGGGCGCCCACGCCTGCCTCGCCCCTACATTTCCTCCCGACCCATCCCTCCTTAGAATTTAGAAGGAAAAAGAATCCGCAGATCTCAGCGGGAAGGGAAGCAGGGAGGAGCAGAGAAATCCTCCGGGGTTATAGGGTGCTTTGAGCCCGCAGCTCTCGGAGCAGAGGGGAAGGTGTGTGGACAAGCCAGGTGAGGAAGAGCGTGGGGGCGGTTGCAGGAAGGACCGCGCCCAATTGGTTGCTGGCAGCTTCTAGAAAGAAACATTGTGGCCCGGTGTGGCATCCTGGGTGCGGGCTGAGGGAGGGACCCAGGGAAGGGGGGGGGGGAAGGGGGGGGCAGGAGCTGGAAGGTAGGAGGAGCCAGGTGGGGGTGGTAGGGTCTGGAAATGTAAGGACTAATTAAAAAGAGGGCGGGGCGCTGTAAGGCCGTTATAAGGGGGAAAGGAAAGACCATCTAATTTAATAAGGCTCCCGAGGAATGTTAAGTCTGACGTGATGAGGAGGTGGGGGTTCGAATCCAGCCTCGGGACACTTAGGAGCTGTGTAACTTGGGAAAGTCACTTTCTTTTTAAAAAAGTGAGCCCAGAGGGAGTGGACCAGAGACTTCAATGGCCCCTTTTCAGGATCACTGATTTGGAATTGGAAGCGACCTTAAGGATAACTTTTTTAAAAATTAATAACTATTTCAGTATAATTGATTTTTTTAATGGTATACATCCTATGCATTTAACTACTTTATTTTGATAAGGGTTCCATGGGCTTTGCAATTGCCAAAAGGGGGCCATGATCCAAAAAAAGGATAAGAACCCTTGGTTCTAGTCCAACTCCATTTTTCAAATGAATAAACTGAGGCTCATAGAGGTTCGGTGATTTGCCCAAGGTCACACAGGTAACACGTAAGTGGCAGTTAGGATGCTCATTAGGGTCCTCTGATTGTAAGTCTAGCTCTTCCTACTCTACCATCTTGTCTCTCTGATCGAACCTTATTGGGAGTGGGGGGATGGGAGCAGGGGTTAGACCGAAGTATGTATTGAATGAGGGATGTGGATGGAGGAGAGGAGCCCTTTTTGAGATGGTAGGACTGGCATTCACTCCCTTTCCACTGCCAGAGACACTGCCTTAGTTCAGTCTCTCACCTTCTCAGTCTCCTAATTAGACTTCTTTACTCCAGTCCCTTACCTGCCCAACCCCTTCACCACATGACTGTGACCCCTGTTCCTCTTGGGCTCAAAAGCTACAGTTCTTTTATAACTCTAGAATCAAATACAAATTCTGATATTTATTACTTACTGCCCTTCACCATCTGGCTCCAGGGACCTTTCCAGACTTATTACCTTACCCAGTCTACACCCCATTGACCTACCCTTCTGTTCTTCTTTCCAAATACAAAGACATTCCCATTTTATCCTAAAGGCAGTAGGGAGCCACTAGAGATTTTTGAGCAGAGGAGTGGCAAGGTGAAATATACTTTGGAAGTAATTTTGACAGCTGTGTGGAGGGTGGATATGGGAAGGAAGATACTGAAATCAGGGAAAATTAAAATTGGCAAACATTTCTAGTGAGAGGTGACGAAAGCCTGAATTCATCTGGTGCCTGTGTGAATGGAAAGAAGGTGCAGATGGGAGAAATGTTATGAGTATAAAGTCATCAGGCTTTAGCAATTGATTGAATTTGGGGGGAGGACAGGAAAGGAGTCAAGGATTCCCCCAAAGTTTTGCATCTATAAGAGTGAATCAGAAAGGACAGATACTAAGCATTCCTGTTAAAAATCACTTCACTGTGACTGTATCAGAGAAAGCAGATTTAAGATTTCTTCAGCCTGAGGCCCAGAGCAGTCTCAAAGAAGTATGTGTGTGTGTGTATGCTGTGTATGTGTGTGCCCCCCTCCCCTACAGAAGCTGAGGAACCCAATTAGTGAAAAAGAAAACAGGCTTGTGACCAGCACAGAAAAGGAAATGGATAAAAGAATTTTAAGTACAGTTATCCCTTCCAAATTGAGGGGGTTAGGGGCATGGCATCCTCCCCGCACCCCAGTCTGGGAAATCCACATAAAATTTTTTGGCCCTCCCATTATACCAGAGAGGAAATGTGAATTTTTTCTTTTTCTTTTATGGGATGTTGACAGTACCTTACTGTAAAGTTTGGGTTAAGTATTTGGTCATAGGCTCTGGGTCATCTGCTGGCCTTCTCATGTTGTCTGCAGCTTTCGCAAAACTCCCTCAAAATTCCCATTTAATTTCTTATGCCAACTCGTGACTGAGATGGGGAAGGGATATATGTAACCCTAACCCTAGCTCACAGTAAACTTTTACACAAATTAAGTTTAACAAACATTAAGAGCCCGCTTACTAGCAGGGAGGACTTTGGGAGTCACTGGGGAAGAAACAACACATAGATAGACACAGTCTCTGCTGTCCTAGAACTTAATTGGTCTAACACATTTATAAAAAGGACTGCAATACGGTTTATAGGCACAGATCTGGGTAGATACTTAGATACTTCCAATACATGAAGTTTCCCATGGCATCTCACCATCTATTCTATTTAGCCATTTCTGCCCATATAAATCTGGGGTTCTTAAACTAGGGTACCCAAACTTAGTTTTGTTGTTATTGTTTTAAAAATATTTTGATTACTATATCAAACTCGTGGAGCCTCGCCACATGTGGGTTCTAACTACATATATAACTGGTTTTCTTTTCTTTTTTTTTTTAGTGCATTTAAAGACATTATTCTGAGAAGGGGTCCCTAGACTTGACCAGATTACCAAAAAAAAGTTTAAAAACTCTTGCTACAAATAAATCTTTGTTTCAGGCATTGAGGGGGTGAGCAAGAGAGCAAGTCAGCCCAGATAAGGACGATAAGATAGGAGAACTTGGCAAATCCCTAAGCTCACAGTTGTGCTTGAAGGCAATTCTCTAGAGACTTCTCCAAGCCCTCGATTCAGCATTTCAGTTAGCGACCAGGCCCAGGAGACACTCCCTGTGCAGCTCCCTCTGCTCCCAGACTTTCCTTAAATAACAAGCTGGGAGTGTGCAAGAAGAATTAAGAAGTTGCTGCATCAGAAAAGAGTCCTGCATGTTGTTCTTTCTGAACAACAAAAAAAGAAAATTCACTTTTTTTTTTTTTTTGCTAATTGGGGCTTTTTTCTTTTTAAGAGAACGTATGTGTGTGTGTATGTGTGTACAGGTGTGTGTATGTGTGTGTGTTTGTGTATAATGTAGAGAGACAGACAGACATATACCTATATGTCCATATCCATACAAATACTTATGGTATGTACTATATATATATATATATATATATATAATACACACACACACAGGTTATATATGTGTGTATGTATCTTTATGTATATAAATATGTGTACACATCTATGTATATATAATTGTTCTGTTGTTATTCAGTCATGTCCAACTTTTTGTGACCTCATTGGGGTTTTCTTAGTTTGCCACTTCCTTCTCCAGCTCATTTTACAGATAAGGAAACTGAGGCAAACAGGTTTGAGTGACTTGTCCACGATCACATAATAAGTGTCTGAGGCCAGATTTGAACTCACAAAG